CCAGCTTTGCTTCGCCTCCTTTTTGATCTCTTAGTGTTCTACAAAATTCCACAGAAACATGCAGTACCATTGCAGGATAGATAACCCGAGATAACCCATCTGCTTTAGAAAGCAACACTCTACCTGTTATTGATAAATCACGCTGTAACCAAGAATTTAATTTGCGTGGGATAGAGAATATAAGAGGTTCAAAATTCAATTTTGATCTCTTTTTCTGATCTTAACATATACTGTAATTATATCTAGATATTTGACTGGGAAGTCACAAATTTTAACATCAGTAGAATTTTTTTATAGATAAAAGTTCACATTTATGGATATTTAAGACATAGATCAGAAGCAAAGGGAAAAAAAGTAATTTTGTCTAAAGCTAAAGGAACTTGATCTTGCTCTTGATCTAGAGTTGTGTCATCAGCCAGTTGGCTTATTAATATTGATTGATTTGCCACAGAGATACCTTTCAAATTACTGAATGGCTAAAAGGCGATATAGCGCAGCCTTGACGGATGCCTCTATATATGTTAAACCAATGAGTCATAGAGGGTGGGAGACCACCCTTTTTAACGCTTTGTAAATAAACATTGAAGAGAAACGGTGAAAGATAATTTGAACATTTCTTATAAACTCTGTGGTCAAACCATAATTTCCAGGAGATTTATTTAGTACTAACTGTTCAATGGCCTCAGAAATATATTTAATTTGAATAGGAGCTTCACATAAAGTCTTGCCAATATCAGGAATTTTAGGAATAAGGTCCGTATCAAGGGAGTTAAAGAATAAGTCCAAATTCTGTTGAGAGTATCTGGAATGATAAAGGTCTTTATAAAACTCTTCGAGTTTAATTCAAATAATTAGACATTTCGTTATAATTCTTTAAATCCACTCCATTTACCATAAGTCTACTATTTAGATGATTTCACTGTTTCTCTAATAAAAAATTAAAAAACTAGCTGGAATTATGTTCTCCCTCCTCCAACAACCTCCTTCTTGAGCGAACAAAAGCATCCTTTGCTTTTCGAATATACAAGTTATCTAATGAATTCTGAAGTTCAGCCAATTCTGATTTCTGGTCAACAGATAAATTCTCAAAAGGAGTGCAGGAGAGGCAGACAAGTATTTTAACAATATCAAGTTCCTCTGCTTTATATTACTTAGATTTTTGAGTTCCAGCTTTGACTAAAATTAATCTAATATTATATTTTAGCACCTCCCAATTAGAACCAAAATTATCCTCGGCTTGAGCTTTGTTAAGAAACAAAAGTAACTCTAGATATCACAGACCGACAAATTGGCGCATCCACTAATAAAACAGAGTTAAGTTTCCTGTATGAGTTACATGTTCTTGAGTAAGAAAATGAGTTATTGAAATATAGAATGATGGATTTATGATCAGACAATGGAGAAGGCAAGATTTCAACCCTAGTGACATAATTTGATAAAGAGTCCGATATTAACCAAAAATCAATTCTAGACATAAGTGAACCAGAACTATTAGACCAAGTAAACTGTAAAGCATGAGGATGTTTTTCTCGCCAAACATCAATTAGGCCAATCGGAAGATCAAACCACAAAGGCCTGATGAACTATCAGACAGTCTAGGTGGTGATCTGTCCAAATAATTATTTATAGTTTGATTAAAGTCTCCACCCAAAAGAATAATGAATAATGGTTAACCGGGTATGCTGAGTGATAAGACACCCCCCCTCCCCCAATCTGCTTGCAGGACACTCAAAAGGGATCACAGATGACAAATAGCTAAGAAACACCATGGCACGTGTCGATTTAAAAGTATGCACATTTCCTACCTTATTTGTAAATTAAATTAATCTCCAATCCTTCTTCTATCGTTTCAAGTTTATCCATTATTCGAATGCAAGAAAAATATAGCTGGTTTTCCAATTAAAAACCAGCAAATAACGTTTACACGTAGTTACATTTTGATACATAATGAGAGGGCGGGGAGATGGGGGGGGGGGGTCTATTTGTCTCTCTGCATCAGCTAAATAATTTTTTTATTCCCAGTGAATAGGAGTTAAAACTCCCACCCGGGTGACACTACTCCAATAACAGACCATGCAAAATACCCAAAAATATTTCAAATATTGCAAAGTAACATCGTAACCTTGCAAACAATAATAAAATCAGAGAATGACTTTAACTTTAAGCGACACGAGCATACGCAAAACAAAGGGAACATTGATTGTTTGTTATTATTACAATTATATAGAGCCCACGTTTTTATAAACTTTTTAAAAAAGTGTATTTGCCACTTAGGCAATAACGTTGACAATAGCGTAGCCTATATCTTCAACATACAGTTGCCTATGACCAAAAATGTAAGAAGATATGTTTTGAGTGGACTTTTAAAATGTGCTTTGCTTGAGAAAAGAAAAATATACAGTTAGTGGGTTTTTTTTTCTTTTGATTTAGTTGAGTTGGTTTAGCATCAAACACAATGTAATTTTCGGCAATCGAGACCTGACAGCAACAGCACATTTTTCTGCTTGGGCTAGCGTTTCGCGAACAGCTTACCTCGCGCATGAAATCAGCCGCAGACCAGCAAATCACTGAGAACACGCATCGATCCTGACGAGTCACAGCAACAGAGCGGAGGCGAAATTTTAAGAAAATGACTGCCGTTTGGCAAATAAATCAGTGTACGTTGTAGCGTCTGGACCACTCAAACACACAATATATATTTTGTTAGCTAGATTTCACAAATACTTTGTAACACCCCAGGACGCCAAACAGGACCCTGGTTTCATGGTAACCCGATACATTTACAACCTTGTGGAATGCGAGCCGACTCTCAGCTGCATTCTCCAGAAACAAGGGGCACAAATGCACAGTAGAAATGGACTTTTCTACTAATTAATTCATAGGAAAACCTTTCTTTGAATGAACACACATATTCTTCAGGCCATTGTGTATATTATTGCTGTTTTGTATTAATCTGTTGTATTATAGACTATTTTTATTCATGGTATTCCTAACTCTTTAAAGTTACCATGAAATCAAAATTTAAAATTCTTATTTTTTAATGGAATACTGTAGTGTCTATTACAAATAATTTATCCGTGCATTTCATTATTTTTTTTATTCATGTGCCCTCGTAATCTTTAATCAAAAACGTTAACTTCCACTCCCCCTCAAAACGACTCATCTTCTCTTCCGGTCACGAGCAAGGTGGAGCTAGTGATGTGAGGGGTAAACATAAACGACAGGGGGGAAAGCTGAAGCTGATGCTTCACTTTATAGCACTGACACCAATCATGAGGGAGTACGTTACCCCTAAACATTGAAAAGATATTAGGATATTACGACAACATTACTCTTAGGACATCGCAAACTAATTTTTTTCATGAATATGACTTAACCTGATGGAGGATGTGCTCAGTCATTCAGACAGTCGCTCTCGCTCTCGCTCTATCGCTCTCTCTCGCGCACACTGTTTAGGCATGTTTTGAGCCGTTGATCGTCATCATCATCCTTAATAAATAAAACATTTAGTCATACTTGGGTGTTGGCTGTGAATCCAGTGGAGATAAATCCCCCACCACTAACTGCAAACTGGCATTCAGATCTGCCTCCATTTTGTTTGCAACGCCCCACCTTCCAATGATCCAATCAATTCCCGAAGGACGAAATCAAGTCCCACCCTCTCATTTCAGATGCCGTTTCACTCAGATATACGTCACAGTAGAAAAGAAAATACAATCGCAACTCCCGTTTCATGCCGACTTTAAGCTTTAAGTTACATTTCAAATGACAAGGAATCAACTTATAATCATGTGTATATGAATTATCCCGTGAACTTATTCTCTCAAATGGCCTGGGTATGCGGAGCATTCACAGTTTATATGGTCGGAACGCCACTGGTATATAACTCTTTCATTTAAGAGATTTGAGTATGTTTCAAGTATGTGTGTTGGCACTATTTCATATATATATATTTTTTTTTTCAGCCAGATAAATGTAAGCATTCCTAAATTAACTTGAATAAATGTGGTCAACAACATTTTGTTTTCTTGTTTTCCCCAGAGTTTCAAGACTATTTTAAGTTATAAAGTCAGTTGGATAAGAATTAGGCTTTGGCTTCGGCATGCAGGTAGGCTATGTAATGATTTTTTTTTTTTTTACAATAATACAATAATCTTAATAATACTTTACAATGGTAACCATAGCTTCTGTCATTATATCAAAATGTCAATATTTGATACTACAGCAAACAATTGATAATCTATTGAACAAACACTTGTTAAATATTAATATACTGTAAATATGTACATATGATAATGGAATGTAGCTTTCAAATATTTCACAGTTTAATAAAACAGTATTTTTTTAAAGTTGTTGATTAATTAATATTAACAACATAGTAGGTGATAAAAGGTCTGTCAAACTGAATTTATACTCATAAAAGCTAATGCACAGATTTTGACCAATTATTTTGTGAAAAATAGGTGATGAAAGGTCTGTCAGGATGAATTTATACTGAAAAAGCTAATGCACAGATTTTGACAAATAATTTTGTGAAAAACATTCATAATTTTACTGCAAAAGTATGTTAGATGCATATAGACTATCCTTTAAATAGTTGATGGAGCTTTCAGAGTCTTTCTATAATTAAGTACTTTTTTGAGTATTGTTTGATTAAAGAAGAAAGGAACATGGCTTTCTAAACAAAATAAAACTGATGCTATATTCTACTTATCCACTAGTGGGCAGTTATAGCGAACCACAGTCTTGCAATGCAAGAGTTCAAGAATAGTATAGTTTTAACCTACGTATTTCTAAAGACTTTTCATGTGTCAAATCCTTCTGACAAGAGCGAAGAGCTGTCAGTTTTATATATGCTGATATTGTGTCTGGTTTGGAATCTGCAGGGTGTTTTGTGGGTGTATCATGTCTGGTGTCTGCTTCCGGAGGGTAGTTTTTTAGCGGCTAGCACAGAAGGGTACACCAGCATCCAGATGGCTACTATGAGTAAACTCTTATACTCTAACACTTAAACTGGAGGAAAGTTGAATTTGACAGGATTTTTAGTTTTTCTCCTTTCAAAATTATGTTTTCTCAGCACTCACACTTACTTTCTGATTGCTTGCAAGTGTAGATATCACTCTTAAAGGGGTCATATGATGTTGCTAAAAAGAACATTATATTGTGTATTTGGTGTAATGAAATGTGTTTATGTTAAGATTAAAGAAACACATTATTTTCCACATACTGTACATTATTGTTCCTCCTCTATGCCCCGCCTTTCTGTAACGTGTCGATTTTTACAAAGATCATCGGTCTGAAAAGCGAGGTGTGCTGTGATTGTTACTGTACAGATAACTGCTGGACAATAACCAATAATAATGATTTGGTTATATACTACAAACACTTTTTTTAATCACATAATAAGGCAGAATAGTTTTAATACTGTAATAAATGCTATGTCAGTTAGCACTGCATTGTTCATATACTTTATTTATTACCTGGAGATGACTTGACAAACACAAATAAACCATATTGTCGCAATCGTATGTTTAAAGTCTTCATGTTTCCAAACGTTTCTGTTTTTCTGAAAACAACTGTTTTCATATAGCGATAGCTGGACGCTTTTGTCCATATTAGGAATTTCCTCATATGACTTTCTGCACGAGAGCGCCCTCTGGCTTCGAGTATGAATGAAACATACACTGCACGGAGTGTTTAGCGCTCCGTGATGTTCATCTCGCCTATTCTGGGTCCGAATAAAACATCAGATCATGCACAGACTATCCTGTCTCTATGAATTTAAATCTATATTTATTCACACCGGCTCTTGAAAACCTCTATGCAAACACACTTGCCCGAAAAAGTGCGAGGGACGAATTTACATGATATTAAAAGTGGGGGGGACACGTCCCCCGCGTAATCTACGCCCCTGGGTTGAACTGTTCTGGAACAGTGTTGTAAATATAACTTTACCACTGATTTCTAGTCGTGTCCACTTTTGGAAGGCCAAACAAAGTAGTTTCACTTTCACAACGAAACACACAGCGTCACACACGGCGGGCTTGAATGAGTGGAGGCCGGCAGGCTAGAGTGAGGAACGGACGGCGGATTCGACGAAGGAGCGGCCGGCAGGCTTGTGGCAGCCACATGTAATGACCCCGGGCTGGACTCCACTTCGTCCACGGTGAAAGCCGATCCGGCGATCCACAGCGCGAAGTTGATGTATTTCCTCAGCGACCAGCACGGATCAGCTCTAGGCATGACGAAGCGGATATCGTCCTCTTTTGGAAGACCAAACAAAGTAGTTTCACTTTCACAACGAAACACACAGTGCCTTCACGACATGGTGCCGGCGGTAACAACAATACTACAGCAAGAATCAAAGTTACGCCTTCTTTCTTTGCATGAACATTTGAGCGGCGTTATGCAAATCTTCCCACATCGGGACGTAGATATGTGGGGGTGTTTTAGAACGAGTCGTTTTAGGTAGGCGTGGTTGACTCTTAACTTTTATAAAGAATATATCTTTGGATTTGAGACTTTAGTCTTTGCAACTTTACAGATCTTCTTTATGCACCAAGAGCTTGTAACACTCCAAAGAGAAAGGAAAAATTTTAATCGCATCATATGACCCATTTAAATAAATTTGTGAATATGAATTGTATTTTTAATGCATTTTTAAATAAATCAAATCCAGACAAATAATGCGTAGACTTGCTCTATTGTGTATAAAGCTAGGTTTCATTGTTGAGGAAGACATGCACAAAAGCCCACACATAGACAAACTCATCAGATATACACAAGCAGTTTAAAAAAACGTGAAGAAATGTAGTTGCTGGATAATACAGAGGCAATTAAAAATTAACTTGATTTATGCTAAGCATGGTTACAGACAAGGATTCACACATCCAGTGCATACAAACATAAAAACAGACATTTTAAGAGCTGACAGAGACTCAAATCATTCCCAAGCTCTCTGTTCTCACAATCACACAAGCTATGAAGTGAACAGAGATTGAGGGAGTGATTTTTTTCCACATAAGAACCTCAAAGAGCCGAATATACGGCATGCAGTCTTTTTTAGCCTCTGTGATATGAGATCATCAAAGGTGTTTGTTTCCCAGAAGTGTTTTGAGGAATTCCATCGGTCTTGTATGATGTTTTGTTTAAGCCAGAATAATGGAATCTTTTTTATATTTGATAGAAGCATTTTATTCGGGTACATTTGTATTTTATTTGCAATGATAAAAATAATGCATGGACATATGTGCTGACATGTACACTGCAGCCCATATGCAGTATCTATTACCTGCATTATTGTGAACCTGCATTTATTCTGTTGTTAAGCATCTGCACTGTTGCTTCATGACATTCCACAACAAGATCAATAGCACTCCAGACACACGTAATCTCTTCAAAACTTTCAATTCTATCCTCTGTCCCCCTCCACCACCTCCTATCACTTCTGTAACAGCTGATGATTTCGCCACATTCTTCACAGACAAAACCAGAACAATCAGTAGTCAATTTTCAGCCCCACACACACAGGACTTCAAACCAACCACACCCACTGCAAAAACTCCCATCTTCTCCTTCTGTCCCCTCACTGAGGCAGAAGTATCAAAACTTCTCCTCTCCAGCCATCCTACAACATGCCCTCTAGATCCAATCCCCTTGCACCTCCTCCAAGCAATCTCTCCTACACTTTTACCACCACTCACACATATCATCAACACATCTCTCCTCTCAGGCACATTCCCCACTGCATTCAAGCAGGCTCGGGTAACCTCACTGCTCAAAAAACCTACATTAAACACTTCACTTACAGATAGCTACAGACCGGTCTCTCTCCTTCCATTCATAGCGAAAACCCTCGAAAGAGTTGTTTGAGTTCTTTCACAGAACAACAAACTGGATCCTAACCAGTCAGGTTTCAGGAGTGGCCATTCAACTGAGACTGCGCTACTGTCAGTCACAGAAGCCTTGCGGATTGCAAAAACTGATTCCAAATCATCAGTCCTTTTTCTGCTGGATCTTTCTGCTGCTTTTGACACTGTCAA